AGATAAATAGATGAATTCAAAGAATTACATATTATATATATATATATATCTTTCTAATGGCAATAAATAGAAATAAACTTACTTTATGTGGTTTCGGAATAAAATGAAGATGAGCCAATTCTAATGAATCTATTTTTGGAGACATTTTCTTATGTTGCTCATGATTAATGGCACGATTTTTCAAGAGAGAAGCTAGAAGCATAGTAACTAATCGGAGATTTTCCGATAAAATACAACGTTCATTGGAAATCTCTTGATAAGCTTCGGTTTCGATCATATATTTCGAAGCTTTGTCACTGAAAATAGTCACATTACCTGCATAAAATACTTTGCTCTTGTCAGTTCGACGAACAGTAATATCAGGTCGATGACGTAAAATTTTTCTTATACTTCGTATTACTTTTTGTTCACGTCGAGCACGAAAATTTAGTTGATGTGGTAATTTTTTTGATTGAAGTTCATAGAGTATACGTTTCAAGCAAGGAAAACCTTCTTTCTGACGTGGTTCTATAAGCTGCACACGATGATCATCAAGACAACCTTGAACAATTGAACGTAATGTTTTATATTGTTCATTGACAATATCATCAATAGATTGACGTGAGAATCGACTTTGACATGGTGGAATATATTTAAGACCTTTGATAAATATAGACATTTGTATTGGCGATAAATTTAAATCTGTTTCAATAAAAGGTGATGAGGCAGTAATATTTGTATAAATGCTTAGATTGCTCCGGCGGATACGTTGCCTTTGTCGTTGTCTACCGCCGGAGCCTGTTCGAAAAAAGAGATTATTTTATATTGAAATAATTCTTGAGCACGTTTTTTCATATTTTCTCCACGAATTTCTGTCGCTTGGATGAGTTGTTCAGTAGCTGTTCGTAGTGAATTATTATCTAGTTGGTGTAATTTATTTTTCGTATCAATTGCCAATTGAGCATAACCACGAGCTGTATCTTGAGCTATAGCAATCGTCATAGCCATCAAATCAAATTTATATTGTGTAATTGTTTTAGAACAACGTGATGCCATACTAGCACGTCGATCTTTATGTAGAATAGCATGTGAAAGCATTGTTTGAATAGGAGCAATGGATTCATTAAGAATTTTATCAAATGATTGAGGAAGTCGTCTTAATGACACTCGTTTTCGAAGAATTTCCACTTCTTCCAGTGCTTTCTGTTCATTAGCTATAGCTTGCCAATACATTTTGATCAGTACAATCTAAAATATCAACCAAATAAATTTCTTTATTTCTATTGCATCTAATAAATCTGTTTATATAGTGAAACCTGTTCTTTTGTCGGTTCCAATGCATATACAGCTGAAATGAAACGATGATCATCAGCATCCAATTTTAACATTGTACGTTTATGTTTGAATTCCGTATTTAAACGATATTGACCATGTTTAACCATTGCTTCAACAGTTGTTAAGAGAAATTTTGAATCGATGGATGGCTGAACATTTTCAGTCCATTCTGGTAGATAAATCAATTGTTGTTGTAGTTCACGATTTGTTCGATTTATTTGATGTTGAATAGTTTTTTGACGTTGTTCGACAAACTTCTCGGATCGACCATATGATACACAAGTATAATGTTGTTTTGCTGCCGATTTCAGTATTCGTGGAGCCCAAATACCCTCAGTCATACCCAGATCGAAATAATCTTTCCATAATTCTTGTTGTAATTTAAAATAATACATCATATTAAAGGTATGAGCTAATTGACGTGTAGATTTTAACTTTTCAGCATTATCTAACCATTCATAAATTTTATGGCCATCAGGGACTGCTTTTGATAATATATCTTTAAATTTCCGATTGGATACTGTTAAATATTGAGGTACAAAAGTAGACTTGAACATTTGAACTGATAATTTTGTTTGATCATTCCGATCGTCGATCATTTGTAGTGCAATATTGTTGGTTTGAATATTTTTAATCTTCTGTTTTTTGGAACATTCTTGTGAAATCGACAATCGACTGAAAGATTGACTGAGATATCTGCCAATTTTAGTTGATGTATAACGTTTGCGTTTCTTTCGATTAGACTTAGGAATGATCTCATCGAATGGAACCTCCTAATCATAATAAAATCATAATACGATAAAGATTATTATTGATGGTCAGCCAATATATATTCTTACCATTATTTGTGTATCCTCTGTCATTTGGCTGATTTGATGATTAATTTTGTTTACTTCTATTGTAGTATTAGGAATACTTTGCTGTTTTCCTTGTTCTCGTTTTCTTTCTGCTCTTGCTTGTATTAAGAATGCCCTGGTTTCATCATCCAAATTTGGATTGCGCAATCTTCGCTGAAAATTTCGTTCGGCTCGATTGCCGCGACTTTTCTTCTTCTTCTTCTTTTTCTTCTTCTTCTCTGGTTTTGTTGTTATTAGTTGTGGTTGCTGTTGCTGTTTTGGTAAAGAAGATAAGATATCGAATGGTCTGTGTACTTGATTAGGCAAAAAGTCACGCCACCAATGTTCTTGATCATAAGGATATCGCTGCTTATCAGCCATTGTATTCCTTTTAAACAAATATCTATCAATAGATGTCTATCTAGAATAGAGCACAACTAATTCATATTCTATTATATGATAAAATATGAATGAAGAAAAAGGCTTGTATTTATCAAATCATCTATTCAATACTACTGCTACTCTATTACAAGCAAACTACTTCAACGAGTAAAGTATAAAAAGCACACAATGTTCATTCATCCTTGTAGTATGGACGAGTAATATTGGTTAAAAATGGATCCATAGGATGGTATCCTATAGGAAAGAAAAATAACAATAAGAGATAAATCAATAACGAAAAGAGAACAAGAAAAATCAAGCAATACGAACTTTTTTTGTTTTGATGATGTTTTGACAAAGTTAAAAGACGAAGAGGTGGTCGTCTGTTGATCAGAATATTACTATTTGTCAAACAAGTTGGTGTTTGTTCTATCCATTTGATTTGAATAGAGTTTGTTGGTGATTCATTAGCATAATATTTATTCCACCAATATTCAAAACATTGTTTGAAAGCATCGGTACTTTCTTCATCCACTAAACGTGGACATGGCATGAATAATGTATGTTCTTTTGCTTGCTCACGTTGTTGCTTCAATTTTATTTGTTGTTCGACATCTTCTATGATACACCGACGTAAATGATAATATTCATTATTATTCAAACGTAAATCCCAGAATTTTTCTAGTATATTAAATTGTTGGTAAAAACGTTGAATACCAGAAAGAATAAATTCTGATGTAAAACCAAATGTCACAAATGATACCTGAATATAAAGTAGTTCACTATGAAATTTTTCCACATCAGAACAGCATCGAACGGCTCGATATAGAACAGCATATAATTGTTTGGTGGCATTTTCCATTAGTTCATTGGATACATTTGGTAAAGTATCAACAATATTTGGATCGTAATAAACTTTACTTTCGAGAGTACCTTTGTTGGTATAGCTAATTTCCAAATCATGAAAATGGACTATCGATCCAATAGATATTGTCGTGGCACTTCGACTATGTGTTGTCCTAACAGTACTTTTATGGAACAATGTATGAAATTGATATTCGGATCCATGCCATATTAAGATTGCTTGTTCTCGATATCTATTCTCAGAGAAAGTTCAATAAAACATAAGTTATTATGATGGGAGAAAAAGTTTTCTCTAAATTTACCTGCCAAAAAATTCATTCTTTTTTGTGAAATTTTTCACTAGTTCACGATATTGTCCAAAAAATAAGTAAGTATAAGCCAAGAACATAGTTAATGGTAAACCAGAAGCACCACCATGAATTTGTTGATACAATGCAGCATTATAAACATAGAATTGAGTTTTTAAAACAAGCTGTACTAATTGTAGGATGGTATCAACGGTAAGACCAACTATTCTCTGATCTGGTAACTGTTCTCGAAGTAAATAGTTTAAGGCA